GAGAAAAAAGAAGGAAAAGAAAAAGAAAAAGAAGAAAGGATTTTTCCTGGGATTTAAAATTGCACTTTGGTGATTTTTAATTGGTTAAAATTATTTCCAAGGCTCTGAAAATTCCACTAAAAATCTTGTTAATGCATTGGAGCATGGGGAACTCAAGAAAAATTCCACCACGCTATTTCTGATTATTAATTGCATTTATTAACTAGGGATTTAGCTCTAGGTTAATTAAGATAATTTCTTCGGGCAATTTATTTAACCAATTTTTAAAGCAAGAAAAGGGGGGAAACTTCATGGTGTGACAGCATTGCAGACGAACGATGAGGCAGCGCGGTGAGGGTCGTTGACGATGAGAGATGAGGTTGTGTGTGGTTGATTGATGAGTAGCGTGGCGGCACAGCAAGGAGCAGCGAGGTGGCCCAGAGAAGCAGCCGTCAGCGGTGTCCTTGCTAGCGTTACATGCCTACCGAGAGCTGCGGCGGCTGCGGGGTTAGGTGAGAGACCTGAACCCCGCTAGGTCACGCGTAGCTTAGTTAGAATCCATGCTCCCACCTCTATCCCCATAAATTAATTTGCGGGGTCATGCCCCACTCACCCACGAGTGAGAATTCCCCATGGCCCTAGCCCTAGCTTCGTAGGTAGGTCCTAGCTCCAATGGAAGAAGTGATGCAAAACTAGAAGTGCATACTGCAGAGTAAGGCCGTGTTTAGTTCATGTGCCAAAATATTTTTGAAGTATACAGACACACATTTGAAGTATTAAATGTAGACTAATAACAAAACAAATTATAAATTCCACCTGTAAACTGCGAGACGAATTTATTAAGCCTAATTAATCCGTCATTAGCAAATGTTTACTATAGCATCACATTGTCAAATCATGGGATAATTAGGCTCAAAAGATCACAATTAGTAACTCGTAATAATTTTGGAGAGTTTTATCAATTTAATTAATTGTTGCTTAGTGGCGTTTATATTTTCTTCTGAATCTGATTTTATTAGCATCGAGAATGCTTGTTGATAGGTTTTAACGCTGAAACTGAAGGCGAGGATCTTGACAATGAGGTTGATGATGGGGTTGATGATGAGGATGGAGAAGTTGCCAATGTAATTGGTGCAGGTTCGGTGAAGGTAAAAGAAAGTTTAGGTCAAAGGCTTGGCGGGAGTATGTGTCAATTTATGAAGATGGAGAAATTACAGAAGGAGAGTGAATGCATTGCACTACTTAATTGGTGCCAATAGCGGAGCAGGAACTAGCGTTTTGCGGAATCATTTAAAGAGATGCAAAATAAGGATTGAGAAGGTTAGAGTGGTGGATCAGCTCATTGCTACTCTTATGTCGCCTAATTGAGTTAGTATGGGGAAGTGGACTTTTGACCAAGAAGTATCACGAAGAGAGTTGGTAAGAATGATTGTGCTGCATGAGCTACCTTTTAGCACTGTGGAGTATGATGGCTTTCAAAAGTTTGTCTCAAGCTTAAATCCACTCTTTAGGATGATATCAACAAGTACAATGAGAAATGATTATATGAAAATGTTTGAGGACCAAAAGAATGTTCTCAAGGAAGAACTCAAAATGTTCAAAATCAAGGATGTCCCTTACCATGGATTTATGGACATCCAACCATACTTTGAGATACATGTGCATCACATGTCATTACATTGATGCTGATTGAAAGCTGTAAAAAAAGATTATCAAGTTCTCTGTCTTGGAGACGCCACACACTGGTGTAGTGATTTTCAATGCTGTTCTCAAATGCATTCAAGAGTGGAACTTGGAAAACAAACTATTTGCAATAACATTGGACAATGTTAGCAACTATGGTTCGATGGCAAAGGTACTGAGAGAGAATTTGCTAGCTAAGGGAGTAATAGTTGGTCAAGGGAAGTTTTTGCATCAACGTTGTGCAGCACATATTCTAAATCTCATATGTCAAGCTGGATTGAAGTTCATTAAAGGCACTGTTACTAAGATACGGGAGAGTGCTAAATACGTCCGTAGTTCGTACGGTCAAAAAGAGGAGTTCAATGAGATTGTTACATAGCAGGGTATTACTTGCAGCAAACATCGATGTTGTGATCAGATGGAATTCGACATATCTAATACTTGACGTAACACAGCAATACATAACAACATTTGATGCTCTAGCTTTGGAAGATCTGTTGTACAAATTTAGGCCTACACCTCAAGAATGGGAAAAAGTAGATCTAGTTTGTAGATTATTGAAGGTGTTCTATGATGCTACTAACGTGATATCAGCCACAAAGTACCCTACCTCAAATCTATACTTCCATAAAATTTGGCAAGTCATGCAGACCTTGGAAAATGAATTATCAGAAGAAAAAAAATGAAGGATATGCTTACTGACATGAAGGACAAATTCGATAAATACTGGAAATTATCATGGATGGCACTATGTATTCCTATCATCTTGTACCCACGGTTCACGTTATCCTTTCTTGAGTTTCACTTTGGCCCTGCCTTTGGGAAACGTGCTAAACCTAGGCTTGAAAGATTAAAGACAACCCTCGAGGGCATGTTCAATGAATATGCTCAGCAAACGATCAACCTTGGTTCTGCGCAACAATGGGGTGGTAATGTTGAGATAGGTAGTTGTGATGAATTGGCTTATTGGGATCAACACGTGAGCCTCACTGCCCCACCAAGGATTGTGGCATCATCAAAATTAAAGAATTATCTGTTAAAGCCTCCACTCCCTCGAGGTGAACCCTTTAATATCTTAAAATGGTGGCAAGCAAATTTTATTGAGTTCCCCGTACTTGGTCGGATGGCTCGAGACATTTTAGCTGTACCTGCTAAACTTGAGAGACTATACTAAACTCTAGAGACTATACTAAACTTGAGAGAATGTATGAAGCTTCTTGCTTGAGGTGTGTCTTGAAATGGAGGATGAGAGCTCCTTTTTATAGCTTCCCAATGACGGTTGTGGTGGTTGGAATGGTCGGAAATACCCTCCAATAGTCATTGGGATGCAATCCTGGACGTCCATGCCGAACCCTGGCCTCAACCGTGGAGATGGGGGTTCAGCCGAACCAGGGGGTTCGGCCGAACCATGGGCTGGCCCAATCCAGCCCATTTTCAGCTGGCGACCTCTTATTCTTCTTTTCTACGTAGACTTGTGAATGTTGGCTGTTTTGGTCGTGTCAATTCGATGTTTCGAACCCACTTGTCCGTAAGTCTGATTCTCGATAGCGTTCGATTGATTGATCGTCCGTGTTGCTGTCGATTCTTCTCCATTTTGTGTTTATGCTTTGCAAGAGGTTAGAATCCTAGTGCTAGTGGAATATATGTTATTTTGACACATATGCATTGTAAGCATAACTTGTTCTCCTTAATTTTAGTAATATTGACAGGTGAAACTGATCACTAATGGCCGTCAACAGTGATCTTACTGCAACTCTGCTCTTTTATGGTGAATTGGCTGTGTAATTAGCCATGTGATGTGATGTACTCCTTTGCATATACGTAGCCCTAGGATTCCTTGCGTTTTATATGTGTGGCCCCATGAATCTGTGAATTAACTATTATCTGCTAGGTTCAATAGGTTAACCTTTTGCTCCATTGGATAACCTATTTATTTAATGGAATCATTAAGGGATGCCCTAATTGAACCATGGATCAGCATGATCACGTGAAATGGTTTAGGTTCAATCCAGAACCTAACCATTCCCATCCTGAGTGGAGAGGGAGCCATCCCATAGCAGCGCTGTGATGGGACTGTAGCACTGCCAGAGAAAGGATGCGTAGGTGGCAGCGACGCGTCAATTCAGCATTGACGCCGAGGAGGAGGCACTAGAGCTGGGCTGGAAGGTCGTGCCGAGGGAGCTCATGGCGGAAGTGCTACGCCGACTGGGGCCAGGGGCGTCATGGCTGACACCGCGGTCAGCCATGGCTAGCTCAAATGAGGGGAAGGGGGGGTGGCGCGCAGTGGAGGAGCTACGTCTCCGCGCCACTAGCATCAGCCTCATTGGCGCTGCTACCACGGTGACCCATGCTCTCGCGTCTGAGGGGGGTGGAGAGAGAGAGAGAGCAATCCCGTTGGAACGATATCCCGTCCCATAGCATTTCTAAAAAATGTGAATGGCTTGGTGACTATATAGCAAGCTGCATCTTCAGCCATGAGATCGCGGGTTTGATCCCTGCATCACATGATCGTTGCTGAATTTTTTAATTCTTCCGCACCTTGCACAAATATCAATATCAATATGATGGCTGATAAATGAAATTTTTTTTGGAAAAATGCCATCGACAATTATATACTCCCTCCGTCCGTAAATATAAGCGACCTTATATTTAGGGACGGAGGGAGTAGGAATCCTGATTTTTATTTTTATTTTTTTTAAAAAAACCCTCAAACCAGCGGCCCAGCGTTACAGCGTGATCCAAAATTCCACGTTAATTTTATATAAAAAAGAAATCCCCACCAATCAGCTGTTGGCTGTTCCGTCTCGTCCATGCGATCCCAACGCGGTTCAGACCGCGTGAACAGATCTGTCACTCTCTCATGCACAACCAATGGACGCAACCACCACCCACAAGTGATACGGTCGGCGCACACCTTTCGTCTCCGTCTCCCCACCACGCAACCCCCCATCTAATCACCCCGTACACAATACCCTGACGTGGTGGTCCTGCCCCCGCCGAGCCGATCCTTCTGGGCCCCACGTATCAGTCGCCCCCGCCTCCCCCCCCCCCCCCCCGGGGTGCGGCCTGCGACGATTTTTCGGTCGCTTCCAGATGCTTCCGTCACGAGACGGGGGTTTCCCCGGTGCTACGTGCGCACCACCCGCTGCTCTACTCGCACCAGGTAACCTATCACTGACTTGTGAGCCCCACCGGTCTGTAGCTCTGTAAACCCCGCGTGTCGGTGTCGGTGGGCGGGGATTCGCGGTAGTGGTGGAATCACGCGTAGCTTCGCCGCTACGTGGCCTCGCGCACGTTACGCGGAATAAAAAGGTGGAGGAGGAAGACGACGGAGACGGGAGACCGAGGCGAGAGGGAAGAGCACATGGCGAGCGGGCGAGGAGGAGGGGGTGGGGTGGCGTCGCCGACGCCGGCGAAGGTGGAGGGCGGCGGAGGAGGAGGAGGAGGGGGGCCGGGGATGCCGATGGCGGAGCTGGAGCAGGTGTTCCGGCGGTACGACGCGAACGGCGACGGGAAGATCTCGGCGGAGGAGCTGGCGTCCGTGCTGCGGGCACTGGGGGCGCCCCTCGGTCCCGGCGAGGTGCGGCGCATGATGGACGAGATGGACTCCGACCGCGACGGCTTCGTCGACCTCTCCGAGTTCGCCGCCTTCCACTGCGGCCCCACGCCGGCGCACGGCGGCAAGGGCGGCGACGCCAAGGACCAGGAGGCCGCGTCGGAGGCGGAGCTGAGGGAGGCGTTCCGGATGTACGACGCCGACAGCAACGGGAAGATCTCGGCGCGGGAGCTCCACCGCGTGCTCCGCCAGCTCGGCGACAAGTGCTCCGTCGCCGACTGCTCCCGGATGATCCGGTCCGTCGACGCCGACGGCGATGGCTGCGTCAACTTCGACGAGTTCAAGAAGATGATGGGCGGCGGCGGCGGCCGGCGGTAGGCTGGAGGGGACTGACTCCGTATGGTTGCCCGGTCAAAGTTTTATCTGTTCTTGCATGGTTTCCGTAATTAGAAGCTTATAAATCAAGCCTAATATTTAGCATGTGAACAACTTTTTAAGTAGATTTTAAAAAAGCCCCCCACTGATTTGATGGGTAGTGATGTAATCATGCAAAGGTAGTGGAGTGACATGCTGTATTACTGTTTCTGATATATACTGTACAACTTGACTAATGTTCAAACTGATGGGTGTATAAACAAGCTTGGGCAAAGGGATTGCCGTCCAGCCTGGGCAAAGAATGTCGAGTTTTATAGCATTGTTTGTTTAATATTTGTAACACCAGTAAAAACTCGGCAAAAATTCTAGGATATATTTTGAATGGACGACTCCTAATTTATGGGACAATGTTTGGAAGATGAAAATGAAATCTTTGTTTCACTTTCAACAGAAATGGTATCTTTATTAGGTGCTCAGAATAAGCTTAACTTTTTTTCAATGATAAGTTTGTTTTTTTTCTGCTTCGGTTTTTTCAAAATATGTTTATTTTTTCATATTCATTGCATCGGAGTTTATGAAAATAAATACGATATAGATATGTTACGAGTAGATAAAAGAGGTTTAATAATTATACTGATATTTGATAAAGTAAGGATATTTTAATTTTTTTTAAATAAAAGTAAACTTATTTCGAACTAGAGGTTCACCAAATGTTACACACAACCTCACCAAAGTGCCATTACAACCATAAAAGACATGTCAACATTTATTCCTGATATAGTATGCAGTTAGTGGCTTTACTCTATGATCAATCACATGTCACATGTTCGACAAGTGTCAAATCTTACATGTGCTACTCTCTAAAAAAAGCACATGCTAAGGCTGTGTTTAGTTTCTGAAATTGGAGAGAAGTTTGGGGAAAGTTGGTAGTTTCGATAAAAAGTTGGGAGTTTATGTGTGGGAAAGTTTTAAATGTGATGTGATGGAAAGTTGGAAGTTTAGGGGAAGTTTGGTGTGAACTAAACAGGTCTAAGGCCGAGTTTAATTCCAAACTTTTTCTTCAAACTTCCAACTTTTCCATCACATCAAAACTTTTCTACACATGCAAACTACTAACTTTTCCGTCACATCGTTCCAATTTCAACCAAACTTCCAATTTTAGTGTGAACTAAACACATCCATAGTGTTGGAATTAATAGATGGGCTAAGGCCCATTCGAAGATTAATTCTTTGGAAAATCACAAAAGCCCACCTCATGGGATGGCATGCATGTGAAGTTTAGTACCATCTTGCTTATTCTAGAAGAGGGGGACCTCCTTAAAAGGGAGGATGCCCTCCTAGCCACTTGAAGCATGTGTGGTGGAGAGAAGAGGGGAAACACAGTAACCGAACCGGATAAGTCGCGTGCACGACGTACGCGTCGAATGGTTCGCAAAATTGGTTCCTCACCCTTGCACAGATGCAGCCTCCTTTTGCAGTTTTGTTTTGCTGCGGGAAATTCGGATTTGTTTTGTTTTGGAAACATTCCGAAAAATCCGGTGCGTGAAAACGGCGTGGAGTCCGGATAAGTTACGCGCGACTTATCCGGTTCGGTTACGCGAAGTGGAGATCATGCGGGCACCCTGATCAAGCGACCTATCTCTATATAAACCGAGCCGCCGCCATCATGCACCACAAGCGAAATCAATCTTGGGTTTGCCTCCTACTCTGTACTACGCCGTCGCTCATAGACTACTCAATCCCACTTGCCGGCATGCACCGGCGATCGGGAGAGCAGGTCTCCGGAACCTCTGCCTTCGACGTCCTGCACCGGGAGAAGGCGGCAATAAGGTTTTTGGGAAGCGCTTCGCGCGACTACTCCCTGTTCGCCCGCGACGGCTCGTCTTCCTCTCCACTCGCGTGCTGCGCGCCTTCGTCGACGCCCGCAACCGCGAGTAGTTTCTGCCGAGCAACCGGTCTTTCCGCCACCTCGGTACGTGTTCGATATGTTACGTATATTTGATCTGTTCATGTTTTACTGCTTAGTTTACATGTGTAGATCTAATGATGTGTTCATGCTAGTTTACATCTGCAATGTCATGATTTATTTATGTAATAAATTAAATCATTATGTGCTTATAATTTCAACAATCCAAGAACCTTATTATAGGCGCTATGATTTTACTATGGCTGGTTTTGCCGATGCACTGAGGCCGGATAAATTCACCGGTGTGCACTTTAAGAGATGGCAGATCAGGGTCACTCTGTGGCTGACAGATATGAAATGCTTCTGGGTGAGTACTAGCAAACCTGAAGGAATTCTTACTGCTGATCAGTAGAAGCAATTCGAGGAAGCTCCTCGAAGGAGTAAGAGACAAAGGACGGCTAAGTCCTTTGGCGATGATTTCGCTGTGTACCTCGTGGATGACACTCCTTAGTCAATTTCAGAAGCATATGCATCTCCTAATACAGACTACTGGAAGGAGGCTGTCCGTAGTGAAATGGATTCCATTATCACTAACGGGACTTGGGAGGTGACAGAGCTACCCTATGGGTGTAAACCTGTGGGGTGCAAGTGGGTGTTCAAGAAGAAGCTTAGGCCTGACGGTACTATTGAAAAGTACAAGGTTCGGCTTGTTGCTAAGGGCTATACTCAGAAAGAAGTGAAAATTTCTTTGACACTTACTCACCAGTTGCTAGATTGACCACAATTCATGTGCTACTTTCCCTAGCAGCCTCACATGGTCTTCTCGTTCATCAAATGGACGTTAAGACAGCTTTTCTTAATAGAGAGCTGGATGAGGAGATATATATGGATCAACCTGATGGGTTTGTAGTTGAAGGTCAAGAAGGCAAAGTGTGCAAATTGTTGAAGTCTTTGTATGGTTTGAAACAAGCTCCTAAGCAATGGCATGAGAAATTTGACAAAACGTTGACATCTACAGGCTTTGCAGTCAATGAGGTAGATAAATGTGTGTACTATCGTCATGGTGGGGGTGAGGGAGTTATTCTGTGCTTGTATGTTGATGACATACTGATATTTGGAACAAACCTTGAGGTGATAAATGAGGTCAAATCATTCTTGTCTCAAAATTTTGATATGAAGGATTTGGGAGTAGCTGATGTTATCTTAAACATTAAGCTAATTAGATTTGAGAATGAGATTACACTCTTGCAGTCCCATTATATGGAGAAGATCTTGAATCGCTTTGGCTACATTGATAGTAAGCCTTCTCCAACACCTTATGATCCTAGCTTGTTGCTTCGCAAGAACAAGAGAATTGCTAGGAATGCACCGGAATACTCCCAAATCATTGGCTCGCTGATGTACCTGGCTAGTGCAACTAGGCCTGATATCTCCTTTGCTGTGAGCAAGTTGAGCCGGTTTACCTCTAATCCGGGAGATGATCATTGGCGTGCGCTTGAGCGAGTAATGCGCTATCTGAAAGGTACTATGGAATTGGGGCTTCACTATTCTGGGTATCATGCGGTACTGGAGGGATATAGTGATTCTAACTGGATCTCTGATGTGGATGAGATCAAAGCCACTAGTTGATATGTTTTCACACTAGGTGGTGGTGCTGTTTCGTGGAGATCTTGCAAACAGACCATTTTGACGAGGTCAACCATGGAAGCAGAGTTGACGGCACTGAATACTGCTACTGTTGAGGCAGAATGGCTGCGTGATCTATTAATGGATGTGCCTATTGTTGAAAAACCAATGCTGGCTATCCTTATAAACTGTGACAATCAAACGGTAATTGTCAAAGCGAATAGTTCTAAGGATAATATGAAATCATCTAGACATGTGAAAAGACTATTGAAGTCTGTCAGGAAATTGAGAAACTCCGGAGTTATAACATTGGATTACATCCAAATAGCTAGAAACCTGGCAGATCCCTTCACGAAGGGCCTATCACGAAATGTGATAGACAATGCATCGAAGGATATGGGTTTGAGACCCATGTGAGTTTTACTATGGTGGTAACCTAATCTATATGATCGGAGATCCCGTGAATTAGAATCTGGGAAGAACAAACCATTAGTAAACTAGAGGAGAGTGCCAATCTATACCCTCTCTAAGTGAAGATGCATGTACTCTCGTGAGCTGCAAGGCAGGTTGGCTATGCCTTAATGAGTTCTGTTGGCTTTAATTAGCGAAGATGCTGTCCTGCAGAGCATTCTTGAAAGAACCCACCTTTGTGAGCTTGACTGTTGGTCGCAGTCTATGGAGATTTTGGGTGAATCTTCTAGGAAGCTTACTAAAGACCTAGGAGTATGACTTATACGCTCCACCCGAGGGGTAGTCTACAGACGGTCTAGTATCAGATAAGACTCTTAGTGAAACTTGCTTGCATAAAACTTGCAATTCAAGGCAGAGTCCATTGTTCAAGTTGTGAGTAAGTGTAGCTTGGAGTTCTAGGTGGATGTTCAACCTTAATATGTCTCCATCGAACCATTGGTATATAAACAGTACATTGGAAAAGGCAAATCTCAGTGGGATTTTAAGATTTGGTGGGGGATTGTTGGAATTAATAGATGGGCTATGGCCCATTCGAAGATTAATTCTTTGGAAAATCACAAAAGCCCACCTCATGGGATGGCATGCATGTGGAGTTTAGTACCACCTTGCTTATTCTAGGAGAGGGGGACCTCCTTAAAAGGGAGGATGCCGTCCTAGCCTCTTGAAGCATGTGTGGTAAAGAGAAGAGGGGAAATACACGCGAGCGCTCGCTCGCCTCGCCTGGCCTGGCCTGGCAGGCGGCGCGCGCACGATGTACGCGTCGAATGGTCCGCAAAATTGGCTCCTCACCCTTGCGCAGATGCAGCCTCCTTTTGCAGTTTTGTTTTGCTGCGAGAAATACATTCCGAAAAATCCGGTGCGTGAAAACGGCGTGGAGTCCGGATAAGTTACTGTTGACAGAAAACACGAGGCCTGGGAGATCTGCTTAACTCCAGTGCAGGTCCAAAACTCGCCTTCGGATGTGTGAGCGTGCCAGTTGATTTGATCCTGCAATCAACAAGAAATAAAGACAAAAGAACCGTGGTTAAACTTATAAATGATAGCCGATCGGCCAGAGGCCGATGACACATCATTTATATCTAAGCCGATGTCATCTGTGCATCGATCGGCAGTCATGAATAAGTAAAGAATGACTAAATCTACTTGATCAGCTATAGATATTAACGATATATACCCCTTATATCGATATATACTTAAATCAAGTGATTGGGATAGATCGGTCATCATGCCGAGACAGTATAAACCACTTAGATCAAAATATATATCAATAACAGGACTATATATGTTGATAGCGTAGCCGATCAGATAGATCTAGTATGTATCGGCTAATACTCTGATACTACTCTATGTTAGGATATTAAAGCAAGAATAATATATCGAACAAGAGCCTAATATACTTAGACTC